TTTTACTTTGGTGAATGTGTGATGGTCGCCAAAAGTAAAACCAAGCTTTTGAAGTGAATCATATGAAGAACTGGTTATCTTTATTTAGATAAGTTATTTTATAAAATGAATTTAACAAAGAAAATGAATAGATCGTTGACCGTTGAACCTTATACTCACCTTTAAACAAACAAAATGTTGGTACCTTGTTTTTTTGGTAATTTGAATTCAAAATTATTCCTTAATATTGATGGAAAAATAAATAAATAATGATATAAACAGATAACTAGCGAAATAAAAATGTTTGAATATCAAATTTGACCGTCACAGCGCTGGCTGTTATCGTGCTCGACGTCTATATATGTCATGACATAATGAAAGAAGCGGACGTCAGCCAACAGCGTTGTAAAAAATGAACGCAACGACGTCAAAACGACGACAGCTAAATGTTCGACATTCAACATTAGTCGCTTTCACGTTCACATAGTGTATGGAACGCTTTTAAAGGCAAAATTGATTTAAAGTTGAAATTACCAATTCGTTTGTAAAGTTTCAGTTTAATTTCGAAATAAAAAAATTTGAAAACATCTGCTGTAAAGGTTCTCCAAATTTTATTGTTGGCACACTCAAAGAAAGATATACATATAATAATAGATAAAATAATATAGAGAATAAATAGTCTTGCAAAAAACACACATTCCATATAACAAGGTATGTACGATACAATTTTTTTTATTTTCAAATTCCCTTAATTTTGGTTGAAATTTCTCCAAACCCTCCGAATATTATTTTTGTGTGAAAAAAATAACCTGTGCAAAGTTTCACACCATTAAGGTAGCATACAGACATAGCTTCCATACAAAAATCCAAATTTTTCGTGACTTTAGTTATGAAAAGTGTTTCAAAAATAATTTTTATGGCAAAATTAACGTGAGACATATTTTTTATAGTGTTTTGTTAGAAAATAGAATACTTTCAAATGTCGTACAAATGGGTTCATCATGAAAGTGTGAAAAATCTTTTCTCGAGTACTTCTGCGATTAAATTAAAGAATATTTCGATGCCAAGGTTTGAACATATTTTTTGGTCTCGAACTTAACGCCACTTGAAAGGCTTGAAAAATCGAACAAATATTATTTTGAACTAGCTTAATAAAATACACAACTACCACCGTGCGGAAAAGTTCGTCTTACTCCCGTAACACTCTTTATTTTCTCTATAGTTTGAATCTCGTACTATTTATAATTTTTTTTTAGTAAAGTGCGGTCAAGTGTTGTAAATATTTTACATAAATTGCCCCAAAAATTGCTATTATTTAAAAGCTTGAAATGTAGTCAGACGTTGTGTTCTGCCATTTCATTGTTTGTTCACATAGCAGAGACGGAACGTTTGTGTGAGTCACGCTGCATGACTAATGGCATAGTCCGTCCACACAAACGTTGGATTATTCCAACAATTCACATATCCAAATATGCGAACGAAGAATGGAATGGAAGAACATGCGGTAAAACATACACATCTATAGCATTGAAGGCAACAGTCGGCAACATTAGAGTTGAGTACAGTCCGCGATAAACTGATTACGATTAAAATTTGAACATTGCTATCCTGTGCTGTTGTCATGTTATCTCAAATGTTTATGAATCACTTCAACATCTTTGAGGAAGCAAATATAGACAAAATATGTATTGGTATATGCGGTACACTGTACTATTTTGTCGCTTATTTTTTACTTAAATAAATTTTGGCTTTTTTATGTAAAGCACTTTTCAATATTGCCTATTTTTATGTTGTAGACTTCAGAACCGAACCCAGATAATCCTCAAATAATGTCGAGTGAGAATCAACCGGATGGGCAAAATCCAAATGAGCGATCTACAATTCCTGTAATATATTGGACTCCGGACCATCCTGATGGAGACAATCCTGATCAATTAGATCCGGATTACAATTACGATCAAGATATGCATGGAGCTAATGGTGAATTTGTAGAAGATTCATTTGAATCTGAGGATTCGGATTCGGATTACGACGATCCTATGCGTGGATCTGGTGAACTTGTAGAAGATACATTTGGAAAAAATAAGAAATGCACTAGGACTATTCCAGATGGTGAACATAAAATTGCAAGTATTATCAATGAAAATGTAGTAGCACAATTAAACGACGACTCATCTGTCCATGCTTCGCAATATTTCGGGCTGAATAACCAGAAATGGAATTTCACTTATGACCATGATAAAAAAGCATATAAAATAACCAGCTCCAAAAATCCTGATTTAGCATTAACATCTCAAGAAGATATTGTCGTTGGGCATAAATTTACTGGCGAGCATACCCAATATTGGAGTGTGGTAAATACAGGAGTTTGGTTGATCCAAAAGCTCAGAAGTTTACATGATCCGAGTAAAGTATTAGATTTGGCTGAAGGTTCGACTAGTAATGGCAGTAGAATACAACTATGCAAAGAGACTGACAATCCTGAGAACATACCGAATCAAAAATGGAAAATTAAGTTTTTTTTATATCGATGGATTGAAGACGGTGAATATAAAATTGAAAGTAGTAGCAATGCAAATGTAGTAGCGCACTTCAACGACGACTCATCCGTCCATGCTTCGCAATATTACGGCCTGAATAACCAGATATGGAATTTCACTTATGACCATAATAAAAAAGCATATAAAATAACCAGCTCTAAAGAACCCAATTTAGCATTAACATGGTGCACCGAAGATGAAAGTGCCTGTGGGTTTAAATTTACTGGCGGGCATACCCAATATTGGAGAGTCGAACGGTCAGATGATATAGAGTCATATCCTGAATTGGGTTACAAGCTCAGAAGTTTACATGATCCGAGTAAAGTATTAGATTTGGCTGAAGGTGAGACAAGTAATACAAAAATAGTACTACACCAAGAACATCTTAATAACATGGCGCACCAAAGATGGACTATTAGTTCTATTTGTCATCGAACAGTTTCAGATGGTGATTATAAAATTGCAAGTAGTATCAATCTAAATGTAGTAGTAGATTTAAGTGATGGCGACGACAGACCTCTCCGTGCTTGGCAATATTTGGGAGTGAATAATCAAAAATGGAATTTCCGTTATGACAATAATAAAAAAGCGTACAAAATAACCAGCTATAAAGATCCTAAAATAGCATTAACATGGTGTACGGAAGATGGTAGAGTGATTGGGTTGGATTTTTCTAGCCAGCCTACCCAATATTGGCGTGTAGAACGAACAAAGGATGGGTATGGGTATTACAAGATCAAAAGTTTACATGACCCAAGTAAAGTATTAGATTTGTCTGAGGCTTCGACTAGTAATGGCAATAAAATAGTACTATATCAAGAGAATCCTGATAATACGCCGCATCAAAAATGGGCTTTACAGACTATAAATAAAGCTCTTGTGGGAAATGGAGAGCATATTATAGCATCTATAATTAACCGTACTAAGGTTATAGATTTTGATTCGGCGAAAAACAATTTGATGATATCTGATCATATGAAATTACAACCATCATATTGGCGATTCGAGTATGATACTACTAAAAATGCTTATAAAATATATAAAAACGAATATCCAAATCTTGGATTATATTTTCAAAGTTCTAACTTCGATGTTAAGGTAGACAATATTGACAATCTTGATTCTAGTGACTTGAGACCTTATTGGACAATAGAGTACATTGTAACCAGAGGTGGCTGTTTATTCAGGAATTTACAAGATTCAACTCAAGTTTTAGATATTAAAGATAGTAGTATAACGTCTGGTACTTCGATTATAAGCTATTCTGTCAATGATAATAATAGCCAACTATGGTATATAATT